TGGTGTACAGCCACCACCCCCCGTTCCCAGGCATGCCGGATGCGGCGCCCAACCTGCTCCTGCAATGGGCAGATTTCGCGTAGCTCAAAAGTCGCCGACAGTCGCACTCCCATATGGTCATGCCTGCCCTCATTGGCGGCTTCTGATCACGATCTCTAAACACCTCCATGGACGTAGTTGTCCGGACGGTCAACTAGCCTCCGTTATATCAATAGGAGCACTTGGATCGGCAGAAGGGCACTGCAGTACTGCAGTGGGGAAAGGCGTCGTCCCGGTCCCCCCAGGGCCATAACAATGAAACTGCCGTCCCTGGCCAAGGGAGAGGACGTGGTGGCCTGATCGGCCTGTTGCCATTGCGCGGCGATCTCATCCACTAGTAGCCACCACCAAACTTGTGGTCTCGCCAATTCTCTCCACGAAAGGCCATGGGCTTGGTCGTCCGGAAGATGTTGGAGCGGCTCGCAGAGCTCCGCCAGCGCAGCACTGATAGCAATGAGAGGGTTGACGCAGAGGCGCCACGCCTCGTCCTCCGTGCAGCATCTGAGCCGCATTGCTCTGTCAGCAAAGCTGCAAATGTCACATCCAAATTGGTCAACGTTAATCCGAATTGACCCTGCCGTGAGGGACATCGGTAGTGACAACAAGGTGTCACAGGCCGCTCCAGAGGGGAGAATGTGGCGTAAATATTCTAAGTGGTCTCGCGCAGCCTCCTTGCATGGGGGCGGCTCCCCCGCCCTGGAGCGCCACTCATGCAAGATTTCTCGTTGCAAGGTTAGCGTGGCAGGATCATCCGTGGGTGCCACATTGCTCGTGAGCCCTGTCAGGGTAGGACAATGCCGGGTTGGGCGCGCATCCAGTGCGCTACTTGAAGGGGCGGGGTGTTTAGTAATCGAATACATGGTTTAGGAGATTTAGACAATCAGGTTAAGTTGAGTTACAAGTTCGTTAACATGAGTTATAAGTGCTGTATATATACTATGTTGTATGGACAACTTAGCAAGTCAGAGGCTTGAATTAAGAAGTGGAGCAAGCAGTTGAGTCACTTAGCCAAAAGCAGGGTGGAACTTATAAGTAAGATAGAACAAGTCTTTTAAGCAACTTGCAAAACTTAGATAACTTTGTGTAACTGATTTAGGTAAGTGGTGTAAGTTGTTTATTTGAAGTTGTTTTCCTGGCATTTGCAAAGATTCAAACGGAAGCTTGCATGGAGATCTCCTGCCGCATGTATTCAGGATGCAATTGAAAATTGCATGGAAAGCTGCTGCATTGCATGTCTTGAGGACATGCTCGCATGCTTGCCTTCTGTGTATTGTGCATGACTCCATGCATTGCAGCCATCTATCGCCATTGCAGGGCCCTTGGCTCGCAGGCAGATTTTCAGCTCCGTCCTCCATCTCGCTTGCCCATCATGCCTTTGCAGTCGGATGTGCGAGAGCGGCTGCAGGCTTTCCTTCGAGAAGCCTCGGATGGCGACGGCCTTGTCCGAATCGTGGAGAACTGCTTGAACTACTTGAAGTCCAAGCATCTCTTGACCTCCATGAAGTTGGAGGCGAGCCTTGTGGGGATCCATCCCTGCAACCGGGATGGGTACGGAGTGAATCCACAAGACGTTCGTGATCTTGTGGACTCGATTGTCGATGTGGGCTATGTCCCCACACGTGTGCATGCGGTCGGTGTCGAAGTCGAAGGAGACTGGGTCCGGCAGTGGAACAAGAAGCTGTTCGAGTCAGCCCACGGTCTTCTCGGAAGCCTTGAGCCGGAAGCGATCAAGATCACTTCGATCTGCGGATCACATACCAATTGCGCTTTGCGACTTTTTCAACAAGGTGCAAGCCACGGCAACGAGGTCGTGAGTGTGGGTGGAAAGCTCAGCATGGAGCTTCTTCGTGCTCGGGATGCTTCGTTCCACGAAGCAGCTGATCAAGGCCTGACGTGGGACGTGATCTCCTCCTCCGTGGCGGAAGAGTTCCCAGAGCTGATCAGCTTGATATCCCGGTCAGGCAACACATCGCTTCAACGAGGAGAACATGAGCTACAAGTACTCCGTCGCATCCATTCCACGTACTACCGCTTGCAGACTCAGACTGGCCAAGCACCGGCTTTTGCATCTCTGAAGAAGTTGATATTGGCCAGCAAACCAAGCTGCCATGCCTCCGTACCCCACATGTTTACGTTTTGTCTGAAGGCTTCCGGGGGTGCCGATGCGAGCTTCCTTCAGGAGACGGAGTCCTTTGTGCGGGCTTACTGCCCTTCTTCTCGGCAATTGGGGCCTGTCCTGTGGGAGGCTTTCGGGCAAGATTGCTGAGGGCACCAGTCAGATCCCGTTGCAGCATTTCGCCATGCACTCATGAAGCAGGCATACTTGAGGCAGAATGTGACCATTGCTGATGTGAAGAAGATGACTTCTAAAGAACTCTTCCCCAAGGTCAAGGAAGCTGACAACATGATCCTCACGGTCAGGGGCATCTTAAGGGATGGAGCTCGCGATTTCATGACGGATTCGCGGGTCGTGCAAGCTCTGGCCACTATGGATATGACGATAGCATCGCACGTCCTCGGCATCAAGGTGCCGGACGAGAAAAAGTACAAAACAGTCCAAGCGATTGTCACGATTTTTTGCTCGTGGCAAGAAACCTGACCGGTGTTGCACTCCCTTTGCCATGGGAGTCGGTGTCTGAGCAAAGTGAACCAGCTGCAACTGCAGCGACTGCTTCCCAGCCTTCTGCTGCAGGTGTGATGCTTGAGCTTGCTGAAGACGGCAGTATCAAGGAACCTGAGAAGATATTGGCCTCCAAGGGTTTCGCTATGGGTGCACACATCCGTCGCAAGGTTGACAAAATCGAGGGAGTTCTTTCAGAAGTGAAAGGTCAGATGGTCTTTGTGAAGATGGCTTCGGGAAAGACGGCCAAGGTGGATCTCAATGTTATCCTGGCTGGAGATTGGGTCGTGTTTGTTCCTCGTGTGCAGCCCACAATGCTAGACAGCTTGGACCAGTACCAGCACCATGTGGATTTTGATGCCAGCATTCTTGCATCGAAGATTCAGCTTGAGCTCTACAAGCTTCACCAGTCCATGGAGTGTGGATCGGAGCACCTGAAATTGCAGCTGAAGCCTTCGAGGGTGTTGCTTGCCAACTCGGACATCAAGAAACTCTGCATGGTGCCCATGACCAACAAGGTCGTGCAGAAATCCCAGGGCCAAGGCAACACCATGTTTGAGGTGCAGACGGACTGGCAAGGAGACGACCGCAAGTTTTGGCTTTCCGGAGCCAACATTCTACCCAAAGATAACGACGACGACACTTGCAAACATGTGGTAGTTCCCTTTTGGTTGGTGCAGCACAGCCATCAGGAAGAGGATTGCAATGTGAAGCTTGTTTGGATTGCGGGAACAGAGAAGAGCATCAAGATTCCGTTTTTAAAGAACACCAAGAAGATCCCGGAAGGCAGCCCCATTGTGGCTTTCAGATCTAAAACGGTGCAGGTGGCTCCCTTGGAGGAAGTGGAGGACGACCACAAGACTTCGGCGCAGAAAAGAGCATCGGCGAGCTCAGGTGGCTCCAGCAAGAAGGCTCAGAAGAAGTGATGTTTCGGCATCCGTATGCAGTCCAGTGTGCTGCTATACCAGCAGCAGCCATTGCTTGAGCTTGCAGTATCTGAAAGATTCCATTGTATGTATATGTGAGGTCTGTTTCTAATGCATTGCGGAGAAGGATACAATTGTTGCAGGTTGCAAGCATCCGAGGGGCATGGTTTTTATAGAGCGACCATTCATAGAGTGTTCTGTGCAGCTGCATGGTGCGAGGATCCCTCAGGTGTGCGAGCTTGTGCTTTGCGGATGGAAATGCAGTGCAGTTTTATGCTTCTGTATGCAAGTGCAGGATGCATCGCCCGTGATGAAGTGCAGGTGCATTGTTGAAGTTGCTGCTTGCATGGATGTGTCGTTTTCGCCTAGGCAGGGCATGTGTGCTCGCCGGCAGAAAACAGCTCCAGCCTCGCATCAAACCATTTCCCCCGTGCATCGCATCATCATGGCTTGCTTCGAGATTGTGACGAAACAGGTTGTCGTGCTGGGTGACCGAAGCTGGATGCCAACCCAAAAGAGTGTCGACGACCGGGGCTTCTGTGCTGTCTCGAAATGGTCCCCGCAGCTTGTGAAAATGATCACAGGCAAACGACTGGACTTGCGGTCCGGCCAAGGGGAATCATCGGGGTCGCTGAACATAAAGCTCTTTGACGATTTGATCGAGAAGAGGCAGGCTGCTTGCGACAAGCTGCTGGAAGAGGCCCTGAGGGACGATGAAGCCGACGACGAGCCCAAGAAGAAGAAAAGCAAGAAGGATAAGGTGAAGGCTTTGGCCAAGCATTTGCACCTGTTGCCGGCGATCGTCGACATTACGATCGATGGCTTTCAGCTGTCGATCCTCAGCGAGGGCCTGTCTACCGGGAGCATCTTCGTGGAGATGCTCTCCGAAAATTTCAATTGGCTCATGGAGCAGGAGAATCGACAAATGCCTGTCGATCGGAAGAAAAGAAGGCACAGCTCCCGGGACAAGACCGATGCCAGCGAGGATTCCGACAAGGAGGCCAAGAAGGTTCCAGCGGCGAAAGCCAAGGGCAAGGCCAAGGCCAAAGCCAAGAGCCCGGCCCTGAAGAGCATCCTGAATGGCTCCCCGGCCAAGAACCCGGCCCCGAAGGGCATCGTTGGCTCCCCGGCGAAGGCCAAGAAGTGATTCTGCATGCAGTCTCGCATGTATCTTCCGTGCATCCATGCAATGTGTATACTTGATGTATAGTATGTATCAACACACCGTGAAAAAAAAATATATATATATACATATGTATATATTACTGTCAATGATGCAAACTCACAACGGCTCCACACTTTGATTGCACGATGCTGTCTTTGGACAGACGACATCGACCGAAGCTCTCTGAACATTGGTGTCGTGTTTCTGCATGCACATTTGCCCTTGTTGCAGTGGGTGCCACGTCTGTGCCATGCTTGCTTTTTCAGCTCTTTTGGCTTGTGAAGCTGCCGTGGTTTTTGGGAGTGATGATGTCCTTTAGCTTCTTGTCGCGAAGCCTTCCCTCCGCTGTGGAGGTGGGGCCCCTGTACAACCACATGCACACACATGCCACCGCCCCAAAAATAACAGGCCGATGTGGTGGAGCGGCTGCAGCTCCACACGGACTTCTCGAAGTCCGGGAGGGGGAAATACAAGAATGATGAAGGCCGGTGCCCCCATGCAAGTGATATGGATATATAGCCTTTCATGTGGTTGCAATTGTTTTGCAGGCACCACGATTTCCTGGTCGGCCAAGATGGGGTGGAAGATCCTGTCTGTTGGAGGCTGCAGTTATATATAGTGTCTGCATGGAATCAAGTGAAGTGGCTCGTGCACTCGTGCAGGTGACATGTACTTCAAGCACCCAGACGTGCAGGCCATGAACGTGCCTGCCAGCCCTGGTCCTAGGTGTTTTCTTAATTTGGGTCGAAGAAAACCGTTGTCGCCTAAGGCGGGTGGCTCTACTGGAACGACGATGTGGGAGATTTTAAAGCTTCTGTGATATGCCTGGAAGGCCGGGTATTTGAAGCTCAAGGAGTCCATATGTATATATCCATGTAGTTGCAGCATGCAGGCCACGAGGAGTCGGACACCGTGGAGGTGGACGTCGAGGATCCAGCGGCCGAGCCCAGCATGCCCGACATGTCATTGCAACTGCTTTTGCATGCTGCTCCATCGTACATATCTAGTGTGCCTGCTCGCCAGTTGTCTTGAAGCCGGCGAACAGCAAGAAGCAGCGCCCAACGGAGCCGAAGGCGGAATTTCTTCGTAAGGCGATATAATGTACTTCTTGTTTGATTGCAGGACCCGCCTCCGAAGAGGTACATGGACCCCGTGCCAAAGACCAAGGACAGCAAGCATATAGCTGTTCACTGTGTATATAATGCATGCTGCATCTGTGGCAGGCTTTGCCCTCGAACTGGGACGAAGGACTTCTTGTGGTTGTCTGGAGCCAGGCTTCTTTGCAAGTGTTTGTTGTCTGGATTGAGGAGATCTGATGCCGGACACGAAGGGCAAAGGGCACTACGTGAAGCCCAAGGCTTTTTCTTTGGGTCTGGCATGCACGACTGCACTTGTCTCTATACTGATGCAGTCTTCTTGGGCAGGTCGCTTTCATCGACGAGCACGGGCAGGCTTGCCTTGGTCTTTGTGATGGTGCTTCAGGTTTGCCTCTGCTTGCTGCTGGCCCCGTTGCAGGAGTGGGCGGCGGGCATGGGGAGAAAGAGGGCCCGGACACGTGGTGGCCAAGGTGTCCGGGCACTCCAGGCCCAAGGGGCCTTGGAGGAGTCCCGAAGCCACATGGAGGACCCTTGCTGCTTGCCAATCCACGAGAACAGCAAAGCTGAAGACACCGCGAGCCCCGACATGCAGGACTTGCGGGCCTCCCTCCACACCATGGGGGTCATGGCCGAGACGATGAACCTGCAAGAAAAGCGAGTCCGTTGAGGCTGTGACCGAGGAGCCTTTCTGTCCTGATGGTGTTGAAACTTATAATGCCTGGCAGGATCCCATGGTTCCTGCCTGGCACCCCTGGTTTGTGGCCTCGAGACCAGGGGAGCCGCTAATAGTTGGAAGCTCAGACCGCCTGTGTTGCTCTATATACGGCCTGGCCTGCTTGCTTGGATCCCAAGGTCCTGCATGCTGTGAGCAGCGAAGGACCTGAAATTGGGGGCATTTTCCGGCTCGCCGCTTCGGGCACAGAGGGTCAGGGCTACCAGTCCCGATGGCCGGGGTTTATGCATGCATAAAGCCCCTTAAGCAAAATAGACCGGAACTTTATGCATGCATATGGCTGGGTTCAGTTTCCTAGGGCGGGGCTTATGCATGCATAAACCTCGGCAGGGCCAAGGGCACAAACCTTTATGCATACATAAAGGTTTCGGGTTTTGGGGGTCAGGCCCCTTATGCATGCATAAAGGGTTGCTTTCCCAGTGCCCTCGTGGTTCCCTGTCCTCTGGCCTCTCTAGGCAATAAGTAGGAAAACTATATAGGTAAGAAATAGCTTTGGGCTGCAGAAGACGAATCGGCGAGGGGGCTATCTCCCCCTGTATAGCCGAGGCTTCGGGCTACCGGGGCCTCGTCCTGTGACTGTTTCACGACCACAGACCATATGGGCCAGTTTGAAGAAAAACCGCCCATCCTCCGAGTGTGCACCGTTTGGTCAGGCCCATGAGGCACACAGACCCCCATGGCAACATGTGTGTGTGTGTGTTTGTGTCTGCGACAAAGAGCAACAAACGAGGAGAGGGAGAGAGGGAGACAGAGACAGAGACAGAGAACGAGTGAGCGAGGGAAGGGACAAGGGGGTTGGAGGGAGGGGGGGTTGGCTGTGAAGGAAGAGACTGCTACATAGCAAAGTGGCTGCATGGATTTCACTGAAGTACATATACATACACAGTTTTACACACTCTGCATATATACCTATTACATGTGAGATGTGTATCTACCCCACACACACATACATATATATATATATATATATATATATATATGTATATATACACGATATGTATATATCTATATACATATACAGATACCAAAACATATCGTTCATATATTCTTATATACACATATATATATATATATATATATATATATACATACATATATGTGTATATATATTTATGTGTATATGAAATGGACTGAATCTCTGAACTTACATACACATATATTACACACTTGCATGCCTGCAGGTGTCGGTATACTGTAGTAACATGGCTGTGCTCTTGAGGGTGTCTACGGGTTCTTCTGGCGAGCTCAGAGCCCTGCCTGCGAAACCGAGACCCCTTTGGTGAAGTCTTCCGGTCTGTGACTGCATGCAATGTGAAAGACGTCTCCAGTGGCAGGCTACATGCTTGTGTGTTGCAAAGCACATGCACTCCATCATCTGCCTGCTGCCCGCTGCTGCTCTATATAGACAGGTGTTCGCAAGCAGGGCTACAGCAGCTCGCTTTGTGCAGAGCATCTGTGCTATATCCGGCCGTGCAATGGCAGCTGCTTTCCTTCGACAGCTGAACCAGCTCCTCCAGACCCAGCAGCCCATCATGGGAGATCAATGGACTTCTCTCTTGGCTGCTCAGAGCGAGGTCGCCATCAGAACGATTCGTCAAAGCCACATCACAGTCGAGGAGGGTGCAGAGATCTGCAGCTTGGTGCAGCAGGGCCTTTGGTCACACGAGCAGAAGCAGGCCCTGGGTGCAGCCGTCTCCCAGACCTTGGCAGGCAGCACTCCAGCAAATGCCAAGGCCAAGAAGAAGAACCAGGAAATTCTCAACTTCTGGGGTTTCTTGGGCGCCGAGGACCGGAGAGTTTTGTCCAGCGACGACACCCTCGTCATGAGGCTGACTCACACTGCTCAGATAATGGCTCGACTGGAGATGTTCTGGCCATCAGAACAGTCTGTGGGACACATCATCAAGACCCTGCAGAGTTGCAACAATACTGGCTTGCAGAACCCCGACGAGTTCCATTCGGCTGTCGTGTGCCTCAAGAAGAAGGTGAAGACCATGCTCAAAGATGCTTCCTGTGGCGAGTTCGTCGCCAAGTACACTCGGCCTGAGGATCTTCCACCACACACCCGAGATCGCTTCGCAGATGCCTTGGGAGGTGAGCTGCCTGGAACAATGGTGCTGGCCCGTGATGCTCTTCGTGGCAGTAACAAAAGCCTCTCTTTCCACAAGAGCAACACTGCCATGGTGCTGGGTGGTCCAGCAGCAGGCCCGGCAATGCACATGCCCCACACCATGCAGGGTATGATGCAGTTCTGGGGCAGCATGGCAGCTAACATGTTCAACCAGCAGCAGCAATTGGCGAAGAAGAACGATGGATTGCCTGGGTTGAAAATCTTCGGCGACCCAGCTGCTGCCGCCTCGTCTGGGACGATGGCCTCCTCGCCTGCTCAACAGCAGGCCTTGCAGCTTCCTACAGTTACCAATGAACCGGCACAGGGCAGCGGAACAAAGCAGGCCGAGCAACAGGGAGTGCTGGCCAGCAAGGATCCTGTCAGTGCTGCACAACATGCAGATGAAATGCTTCAAGCTTGGAAGGGCGACAACAAAGGGTTCGACAGCACCGTCGAGGCCGAGGCCAAGGAAAACGAGGCGAAGCACAAGGCAAATAAGAAGCCCAAGGCTGCAGCCAAGGCCAAGGGTAAAGCCAAGGCCAAGGCTAAGGCGAAGGCCAAGTGCACGGCCATGAAGTCCCAGCCCAAAGCAAAGTCGCAGCCCAAGGCGAAGGCCAAGGCTGCTTGCAAGGCGAAGGCGAAGTCGCAGCCGAAGAAGGTCCAGAAGGCTTTGAAGAAGTTCACTCGAGAAGAGGTCCGATGCATGACTTTGTCGGCTCGCATCAAGCTGCGACCCAATGGGTGTGGCAAGTGCCGGAACAGGCCCGGCTGCACACCGTCGTGCTTTGGCCCGTGATTGCATCAACAGCTGCTGAAAGCATGCACAGCTGGAGTCCTATATAGGGTGAGAGTTTGGAGGCTACAGGCAGAGTGTATACATCTTAAGTCTATATGCATGTTGACGTGTTTTGGTGTCTTCCAGCATCAGCAAAGTTTTGTTCGCGAGCCTCCAGGAAGCATGCACCTTATTATTCATCTTTCACAAAGGCTGTGTGTACATTAAAGGCATTGTACCTCGGGAGGTATAATGTTGGGAGCATCGCTTGCCACGGAGGGAAAGACCGAAGCGATCCTGGCAGGTGTCAAAAGCGGTGGTGCAGGATGCCTGCACGATCCGGGTTTTTGTTTCGTGGCATATTATATATGTGTTATATACATATATAGATAGATATACTTTACATATGGGATGTATATATATATATATAGGAGCCTATATATACTTTATATATATATATATATATATATATATATATGGGTTGAATATATATTGATATATATATATACACACACATATATTATACAGGGGTGTCCTTTTAGGAGGGTGCGAATGTGGACCCTTCTTCGAGAGCTATGTTGAAGCTTTCGAGTTGTACATGTATATATTATATATGGCTTTGCGATTTTTTAAGATGTGTCTCAGGATCACGTTTGGTGTTAGGTTAGGTTTGGTGTGGTATATACTATATATATAACTGTATATACATGTATATATATGTGTACAAATCAATACTCGGATGCTATATATCTATAGCTTTCGGGTTTCTGTGTATACATATATATATATATCAAATATTTAGTTTCGGGTTTATGGTTAAAGGTTGTCTTGGCTTTGCACTGGAGTTTCCCGGACTGCTCGCAGTGGGGTTGCACCGTTGCAGCAATGTGCTTGGAAACCTGCAGGAACAAAGAGCATGCATATATACATGTAAACAAAACATATCTCTGTATATATATATATATAGATATATAAGGTACGTACACAGTGCCTGCATGCTCCCATCCACTTTTCCTATATATAGTATACCTTTTATACAGATATACATATATATATATATATGTATGAATCTGCAGTCAAAGTAGTGGGTCGCTCGGCAGGGCCAAGAGCTCGCCAGCAGACCCCATGGCTTCCGCCGGGAGCTCCTCGCTCTCCTGCTTGGGAAGGAAATCATATGTATCCCAGCGAGGTCTCAGTCAGGTCTTGCAGGAACTCAAAGAGCTGCCCGAGTTGCCATCTGGGACGAGTCGCCGAACACTGAAGCGGGCCCGGGATGAGAAGCCTCGGAGCTACCAAACTGCTTATGGCGAGATCCTATGCGACTTCAAGTGTGTTGCCGAAACTGGTGTGGAGTTTGAATTTCCTGTCTTGAACCCAGCTGCAATGCTTGCCTGGGCGACAGAGCGATGTCGACCATTTGGCGAGTTCCTGGAGAGGGCCATGGATGCCACACCCCCCAGCATTCTTCAACCATGGGGATTGGTGTGGTATTCCGACGAGCTGGCTCCGGGCAACCAACTCAAGCACTCCAACCGGAGAAAGGTCCAGGCTGTATATTGGAGCCTGCTCCCTTTGGGACAGCATGCAATGGGTTGCGAAAATTGCTGGTTCACTCTCTGTGCCATTCGCAGCTCTCTGGTCGCAGATCTCGGCGGCATGACTGTGCTCTTAAGGCAGCTAGCAGCCTTGTTCTTTGAGAGACCTGACTTCAGAAAAGGTCTTGTGTTGCAGTGCCCTGGACAAGCACGTATGCTCTTTGCCGACTTGAAGATCATCATATCCGACGAAGCTGCAATTAAGGCTACCCTTTTCAATAAAGGAGCCAGTGGGCTCATATTCTGTGTTCAATGCCAAAACGCCGTGGACCACAAAAGCAGCATTGCTGAAAGGAGTCGGGGCAATATGGTGTCCGGCCTGGAAACCGACATGAGTTGCTTTCGGATGCACACACCCGAGTCTATACGAGACACCATGGACTTCTTGCGAAGGCAAGAGAGGGTCCTCAACAAAGACAGATTCCTGCAACTCCAAACAGCAATGGGGTTCAAT